TATTGATTCACTGAAGCCAAAACACTGAGGCTCCACCCACACTGATACAAAAACACACATCACATGACCGCTCATGTACATGGTCATGTGGTGTAAACAGGAAGTAGAGTGTCTCCTCTGCAGTTGGTTGCTTAGCAACAGAACCTCCTCTGAAGGAGGAGCAGTGATGGTGAAGAGTCAGAGCAGGGAGGAGGTGGAGCTGTGACTGACAGGAAGTGTTAGCGACGCTTTGTCTTCACCGCTGGTAGTCGAGTCATGTGACTGATGAGAACCAATCAGAAGAGAACGTGGGTGTCACCGTTTCTAAAGTCTCAGTTTGTTTTCAGACTTAAACACAAAAGTTTTCAAAACTAAAACGAGATCAGTTCACACAAGTGACCTTTGACACAGAGGATCTTAGACCCTGTGCTACTTTCGGACTGACACAGTTGAGAACATTTCAGGAACGTGTCCAGACTTCACTGTTCCCCGGCTCTTTATATATTTATATATTTTGAAGAGGTGCTCTGCCTGTTTCTTTCTGTCTGACTGGTTATTCAGACTGACAGTGAGCATGTGGACGTCAGGCTGAGAGAGGAAACATGTCACCCATTCTCCACGGATCAAATGTCGTCCTGACGACACGCTCAGTCGACCAGACGCCCTAACACACCCACATCAGTGACACCGCACTGCACACAGACTAAAAGTGGCTTTTCTATTCTGATGAGGAGTCGATCTCACTGAGGCTAAAAAAAAGATGGTGTCCCTGCTGGTAGGAGCGTCCTCACATCCTGGTACTTCATGGTACTTTCTGTTTGTTAAGATCTAAATCCAGGTTTAATGATTTAACAAGGTGCAGAAGGAACGAGGAGGTGAAACAGTAGCATGGGATGAGGGGGGGGGGGTTATGCTCCGCTGCTCAGAATATCTCTGTCCTCTGGTGACCTGTGGAGAGGACAGGAGGGAGGACGGGTCGCCTTTAAATACTTCACATGAAAGCATCTCTCACACCCTATGCTCATATTTAACGCCACAGAAACAGCAACGACAGCAGAGTTCAGATAAACCAAAGTTATCTCTCCAGTGACAACGTGTCATCCGTTACATCACGTGTGACCTTCAAACTCTGCCACAGCTGCTCAGAGTTCAGTTTCTCTGAAGGACGAGCAGAGAGGGTAAAGGTCAGGAAGCCGACACGCATCTAGATTTCTTGCATCACAGTTTGTTTTCCAGCTTCGTATTCAGGAGGTTTCAGATTAGATTGTTTTTGCAAAACTCACTGAACGCGATAAGGATTAATAGACGGTGATTCAAGCTTCTCTGCTGTTTTATAGTCAAAACATCAGATAATCAAGACAATCATAAAGTAGTAATTAGTGTGAGAACATAACATTGAAATATGTCGTCTAGGTTGTTAACAGTATTTTATTTAAGTGTCGATGAACATCCTGGATGTTGTGCAGCTTCTTCTCTCAGTTGTGTTTGATTCAGGCTGAGCAGCAGCTGCTCAGGTTACTATTGATTCATTTATCACTGAGAGATAATGGAAGATGATCCTGCTGCTGGTCGAGCTGCAGAACTTGCTGCTTTTATTTTAATTCTCAGTTGTTGAGAGCTTGTCTTTATTAAAACAGTCAGTGGAGGAAAAAGACGTCCACATGGTCAGGACAGTCCTGACCATCTGTCGTGTCCCTGATCTCGTGAACGCTCTGCGGCCTTTGACCTTTTCTCAGCCTGATGATCGTAAATGAAATGTGACCTCGCCGAGTGGAAAGACTCACCTGAGAGCCTGCATCTGTTTTAATGTGGAGGGAACGACGTCTGTCAGGAGACAAAGAGTCCGACGTCATTGAGGAATAAACCTACACAAGCACGTGGATTTGAATCTGTAACTTTATTAAAACATAGTCTCATCTGCACTGACATGATCATTTGACATCAAATAATATAAACAGTTTTAGTTTCGATTCATCATTAAAGTAAAGAGTAGATTTTTTTTCACCTGATTAGAAAAATATATTTTCAATCACATTTTTTTTTGCATAGCCCTTATTCACAAATCACAGTTTATCTCTTAGGGCTTAAAAAGCTACAACGTCCTCTGTCCTTAACACTAATATTTAGAATAATGAAGCAGACTGTGTTCATGTTTTAACAACGATAACAGAGATCAAGACTTTTGCACATTTTCATGTGAAATTGTAGAAAAATAGAACCGATAGACTGATTAAATAAAAAAAACAGTTTGATGTGTTGAACCTCTTGTGGCTTTCGAGCAGTCGGCCTTTGATTCCTCTCAGCTCGGTGAACAGAGAAATGGAGCATGAGCACATCGATGACCTGCTCGGTCTGTGGACCATGTACAGTATGGGGGGAGGGGAGGAGACGGAGGTCAGAGTCTGGAAAAGAAAACGAGACGCTTCATGACAGTGATATGTGGTTTGATTTAGACGCAACAAGATTTCAGATTGTTTTGAATTCACATTAAGTTCACGAGTGAAGCTGCTCCCTGTTAAATGTAACTGGTAACACACAGTTTATTAATTTACTGGATCATTTCCACACCATGGAATCTTTATGGACTTTACTTCAGCATGTTAAGAATAATTCTGGTATTATTGTCAGTTTCTCTGTAATGTCTCACTTCTCTATTCTGTGGCTTTTAAGTCAAAACTCTTCATTCCTACTGAAGATATAAATCTCCAAAGTTTAAATCAAACAGGAGGAAACTGCAGATCTTTTTGTTCTGCATATTAATCTACATTAATCTACAGACAGAACATACAGACTCATTTTAAACTCAGAGTTAACAGATGATGCTGCTGGGTCTGTTGAACCTTGTGATCATTATCCGGTGAATCAGTGGCTAAGAAACATATTTATATAATGTATGTATAATATCAGGAGTTACGTGTTCACCTGACCTTCAACATCATGCTCTGTATCCTGCAGGATTATCTAATGTTTGAGGACGTGCAGGTGATGGTTTTATAAAAGGACCCAGGAGCTTTCTGTTTCTCTCACACTGAAATCACAAGTTATCTTCTGCTGGAGATAACAACATGTGCTCTTTTAATTTAGGCTTCCAGAAAAGCTTGTGATGCTCAGTGCAGTTGGAGATACAGTGGCCTTGGGCGGACAAATGACTGTTTCTTTCTTTTCCCAACATCAGCACCATGTGCTCAGACTGCAGGGCTGGAGAAGGATGTGTTCTAGTTTTCATTTGGATTATTAGAGCTGAGAAAGTGGACAAACTGTCTGGGATTTGTTTGTCTTGTAGTTATTTGTTATTAAAGTAAATATGAATAAATCAGTCTGAATGAATATATGCATATAGAACCTACGCTAGTCTCAGAAATGTGTTTATAATGGTTTACTGAGAACTTCTCTATGTGGGAGATAATATAAACAACCTGATTATTGCTGAGGTTAAATCTCGGGCTGGTCACAGTGAAAGGACCAGACACCAGGGGGCGATCAAGATGGTTCGGCTTCTCTCTGTGTGCCGTCCATCTTTATCACAGCAGACATGACACCACACCTTCATGTTGTTTCACCTCAGGACACGTGCTCTCCGTGGTTTTGTTTGTTTCAGAATGTGCAGCAAAGTGTCTGAGTTTTAATGTGACGTCTAATATGTTCAGTGTGCGTCAGACGGACGCTGTCAGACCCTCGTGTGCTCCAACAACACAGAGCTCAGTGTGAGACACACACACTCCTGTAGACCTGAAACAGGCCCGCCTTGTTTCTGCCTGCCTCAGGGTGTGTAGTCTGTCACACCTGTGTGTGTGTGTGTGTGTGTGTGTGTGTGT